ATCTTGTTATGATCTGTTTATGAATATGACATGTTCGGAATTTGTTCACTAACCTCTTTACATTGATGTTATTAATTGGGTTTTAGCTCACTGTTTGTATATATATATATATATATGTGTGAGCGTTCTGGAGATCAAACCTAAAGATTTTTGTCTGGATCTGTATTCTATTGTCAGCCAATCATTGTGCCTCACGTGAGATTCCGAAAGTGTCACGTGTTATAAGTTCTGGTTGTTTCTATATATAAAACTTGTTTGTTTTTGTTGGTTGTACTTAAGATGCTATAATGGGTGTGGGTATAATGTAATAATGACTTTTGGATATGTATATAAAGTTTTAAATATTCAGTTTCATATAAGTTAGCATAACTCATTGAATAATTATATTTATGTATTTGCTTTCGCTAGCCCTTTATTTTGTTAATTTGTTTCAGAGGCCTTCGGTAATCTTAGGCTTATTGACTAGTAACAATGCTAAACCTATAGGGGCGGGTTTGGGTCGTGACATATTCAAATCAGGATTAAGCCAATACAAGCTCGATATCTCGGGCCCATCATAGATCAATCTCAACATATTATCATTATCAAAATACAAACTGAAATACCCATAAGCAAAACTTCAATTTCTCAACCCAGATATCAATTTCATGCTTTTAGAAAATGTTTGAAAAAGCAAAAGAGTTTCAGTAGGAAAATCAAAGCTTTGCCAGAGAATGCTACCATTTAAGTTCTTTAAAACAAGGTTGTTTGTCTCAAGAAGCTCTACTCTATCAACATCAGTAGAGCTGGTATTGGTCTGCCAAGCCATCGAGCCATCGATATCGGTCAAGACCATAGTTCAATCTCGCCGGAGAGAGAGGCTGGAACCGAGGCCGTTGACGGGTTTGTCTTGATTAGCCATCCAAACAACTGTTTTAGATTATTGTGTTAACCAAATTCCAAAACCAAAGGCATTGGTACCAACCCCATAGAACCCACAAGTGAATGAATTGTCTGGGGAGGTAATGACATTTGAATCACCCTGTACAGATAGAGAAGACCCTCTTTTCAAATGGTTCAAAGTTTTTGATTTTGTGTATGGAATCATGAAAGAGATTGTTAGAAACAATAAAATGATTGAACTAGTTGGATTTTTCATGGTTCTAGAACTTGGTTTTGGTTGAGCAATATGCACATATGAATTAAACTCAAGAAATTCATTTTCACTTTCCGATCGACCGACGTTTGTCCCCTCGGACGTCCATTTAGATTTGATAAAACCTATAATACACTGTTGGAGTTATTAGATTGAGGAACTCGTATTTTTTTTACTTGGATTTGATGAAAAAAATTGTGCACTGTTGGAAATGTCCTAAAAAGCGTTGCATCAAACCAAACCAAACACCATACGAGGCAAAATTGGTCGCTTTCAAACCCCTCAGCCTCCAAGGGCCAAACTAACCATGAAATGACAATATATGTTTCAAGAAGCTTTGATTTTTGTGATTTTTTTCAAATAAATCTCTAAAAATAACCATCTTATTTGATGCATATGTGTACAACTTCATCAAATGTGCCTTTGTTTCGTTGTCTATATACTCCTCATTTTAAATAAAAATAAATTGTATGATTCACGTTCTTTATACAATTACATCAATGTTCTCCAAGGCCTCATGTATACTCTCTCGTATGTTTTTGCATGATTTTTAGATTACTAATGTTTGTTTTATTATGACTATATTTATCTTTAAGTTAATTCATTCTATTTGTGATTTGTATTGGCACTTTCAATCCCATAATTTTTAGATAAAGCACATTTAATCACAAATATGCTTTAAAGCATCTCTAATGACAAATGCTATAATAGCATTGCCATTATTATAATTTGACAGTGAATAGTAACAAATTGTCAAATTATAACAATGGTACTCCAATGGTTATATGTCATTTTGGCAAATCTCAACCAACTTTGTATAGTCTTCCAGTTATTCGGCCGATCGTCTTGTGATTGGTCTTCTGTGCGCGTGGCATTACTGTTATTGAAATCGTCTGAAATATGAACAAAAAATTGAAGGAATGAGAGGAATGGTTGGTGGAAACAAAATGGCATGTATGGCAGCTACCATATTCAACCATTGGAGCACCACTTTTCATTTTTAGCTGTCAAATTATAGCAATGACAGTTCTAATGACAAACTATTAGAGATGCTCTTAAACATTACATTGATTGTGTGATTGTTGAAATTATAAATCTCCATTCTTAATCATGATGACATGAATTTGTAAGTTGGCTTTAAAATTTTATGATTTTAAAGGTGTATTTTTTTTTATTGTTTGGGTCTAATGCTTTCAAACACATGATTATCTTGCTTTTTATAAATTTTTCCCCTAACAAACACTTTTCCTTTTAAGTTTTGCACATTATAGTCATTATCAAGCTATGCATACTTTTAATATTTATTATAAAAGTTGCTCATTACACATTTTACATAGAAAAATGAGAAAATGAGTTACCACTCTTGTGAAGTTTATGTCCTTTTTATTTTATTTGATTTGCATGGGGAAAAAACGAAAGCAATAGAGAATAGGAAAACAAAATGACACCACAAAAGAAGAACAAAGAAAGGAACATAATCACAAAATAATAATTAGCATTATCTAATTCCCAAATCTTAATTATCGAAAGGAAGAGTTTAATTTTATTTAGTTTTGCAGTAGTTTTGCAATTTCTATTGTTATCATCGAGTTAAATGTGATGTGAGAATGGTAATGGTCAATTGTTTTGAGACAATGTATTTAAATGACGAATTGTGATAAAAATGATTTCTCGAAACTGTCTCAAAATTTTATAATATAAAAAATATTTAATTTTTTGTCAAATCTTCATTTCATTATAAAATTTTCTGCTTATTTATATCTATTCATATACTATTATTAAGTGAATGCTTAAATTGGTTTAATAAAACATTATTCTCCTCATGTTACGTGGTAACTTTATATATGCTAAAAGAAAAAAATTACCATATATATCGTAAGCAAGTTTTGAACCTAAAATCTTAGATTTTATTAAAAATATATTTATCAGTTAAGCAACACACATATTATAATATTAAATTCTTCATTATTTGTTTTTATTATTAATTATCTAAATTGCACACGTGTCGCATGTGCCACTTGCCCGTAATGCTTATGTTAAGTCTCTTAATTAAAATATCATTAATATTAAAAAAAATTAAAATATAAAATATAAAAATTGTTAAAAAATAAAATATGTGCAAGTGCAATTCATATGTTACTTCGTTGTCCTATTTCATGATGAAAAATGTTTGAGACGCCTAATAAAACTCCCATAATTTTGCCCACAATAATGTGAAATGATGAGTGTCAATTTTTGATTTGTTACACAATCATGTGGGGTTCTAATTCCTTATCATTGTACGTGTATTTGGGGATCTTAAATGTTGGTCTCTAATATTACTTAGTTAAGGGACTCACATTTAAGACCCCTAAATATACTACAATGATACGGCAAAGCTACAAATTAATCTAGAAAGATGTGAGGAGGAAGGTAGGCATTATATGATTGGGGAGGTAATTAGTCAAAAAAATAACACCTATTTTACTACCACATTGTAGGTCAAATTGTAGTAGCTTTTTTATGGGGGTCATACATTTTTCCTCGTAAATTGCTCTTGTTTCCTGTATACACTACGCTGTGTTTGGTTGACATATTTAGAAAGAGAAAAGGGAAAAAAAATGATGTGTAAATAAAATACGCTTACATTTCACCTAATTTCACACACATTTTTCCTTTCTATTTCCAAAGCCCCCAACCAAATACAGTGTTTGCATTTTTTATTAAGGAGCTATTCTGTATAGTGTATATGAACTGTTTATAGTTTTTTTTTTTTTTGTGTCAGATTGTTTGTGCAATTTTTGCTTATAATTTATAAGGCATAAATAATTTAAATAAACTGGGCCTCGTTTGGCAACAGGCCGGTCTAGCCAAAAAGTCAAAAAGTTACTAAAAAAGCCAATAACTCATACAAAAAAATTAAAGATTCTCTTTTCTCTCTACTTTTTGCAATTTTTTTTGTAAAAAGTCAAAAAGTCATCTAAAATATACTAATTTTTTTTAACTCATATTTTAACAAAATAACCAAAAATTACTAAATTAACATATTTCCAAACGAGGCCTAAAAAGTATTATTTTCAAAAGTTGGCCGAGCAATACTTTTGACTTTTACTTTTAAATTATCAACTTTTAATCATACTAAGGCCCCGTTTGAGGACTTACTTTTTTAGCCAATTAGCAAAAAAGTTACTAAATTAGCTAAAAAGCTAACAACTCATACCAAAAAGTCAAAAATTCTCTTTTCTCTCTATTTTTTGCACATCTTTTCGTAATTAGCCAAAAAGTCATACCAAACATACAAGTTTTTTTTACCTACCTTTTTAGTCAAATAAACAAGAAGTTACTAAATTAGCCTGTTTCCAAACGAGGCCTTAAGTGTACAAAACAACACCTAAGGATTGAATAACCCAAGTGACCAAACAAATGAAAACTATTCAATACTCATGGAGCGCCATGGATTCATGCTGTAGAATTAATCATCATACACCATGCCTTTTCCTATGAAAAACTATTCAATATTCCCAGAATGCCACGTGTTCATCATTTTTCATTAATCATCATACCCCATATCCCTTTATATTCTTCAATCACATGACACAAATCATAAATCCTACCTCCATGAATTACAATAGCTTATAGCATCATATAGCCATGCTCCATAAGCATTCAATAATCACTCCCTTCCTATTCCTCCATTACTTAGGTCAAGTTTGGCGTCTTTAATAAAAGTAAAAAAGTCAAAAATTAATATCCTATTTAAGTCACATTATCTTATTTAAATCACAACACCTCTCTACCACATCACTTCAAACCCAACTCATATTTCATAAAAAGTAAAAAAACACACTTATTTAGAACTTCCCAAACAACCCCTTAATACAAAATT